CTGGGCTCAAATTGTGCGTACGCCAGTTTTATAAATCCGACCCCTGATCTTTAGACATTGTCCAATGTAAAACCAAACAACCTACAGTAGTCTTTGCTATATAGTTAAAGTAAATGTTTATTAAATAATGTATCTAGCTAATGTTACAACTAGTCAGGGTTCCCTTTCACAAAGAATTGGTGCACATTTCTTAGATAATATTAGTTTATTTGAAAATAAAGAGGAGAAACTATCTGCAAGCGAAGCCTTAGAAAATAATTTATTTGTTCAGCAGAATGTAATTTTAGCTCATTTCCAAACTTGTCAAAGCTCTGAGCGATTTAAAGACCTTGGTGTTGAGAGAATTTTCTCTGAAGTAAAGCCAGTTTGGTCAATTTAAATTTCATTTTTTGGCTTTGTTCTCAAACTTAAAGAAAAAAAAACTGACAAACTCAGGATACTAAATTGTTAAGATCCGGACTCCGTAAAAGTAGTAATTTCAGCCTCCAACAAAAATCACTCAGTAATTGTTACAGTAATCCCATTTTTCTTAATACTTTGCACCAAGATAAAAGCTTTGATTTTATATCTGTGGACCTCCCTGTCAATGATATATGGTCTAATTTTAGGAGAAAACCATGTGGATTTATTAAAAGCGAAATGATCAGTTCACTGCCAGACAGCCCTAAAACCTGGTCCAAGTACTAAAAGCCTTCATTTAGAGAAAAGCCAGACATGTCAACATAAACTGTTGTTTTTGGCTTTGGGCGTAAACCAATTAGTCCACAGGCAAATTCAAAAACGATGTTGAGCTCAAACTCTTTTTGATCCAGATACAATACACTAAATGTCCTTTTTGTTCTTGGGTTTATGATTGAACCAATTTGTTGATAGAAAATGTATTAAAACAAGCAGCCAGCTTAGAAACATGTTAGACTGTGAAGTTTTAGCAGCTTGTCAACTAAAAAATTATAATAATAATAATAAAAATAATTATAATAATGCCCAGGAAGAACTGCAAATTGCGACTTGAATTAAAGTGAGTATTCACTGGAAGGTCTGAAACACAGGTCTTGGTTCAAAATTACACAGTGRTAATGATTAGTTAATATTGCCATTCTAGAGCTGAACGCTAGCGTCAATTCAATTCCTTAAACTTGGGCTGAGCAATAAAACAATAATAATATATATCGCAATAGATACGTAATTAATATCAGTAGGAAATACGCCCAATAGAATGTTGATAAATTCACTGAACTCTGATCCAGAAACGCACAGCATTCTGGGGGATAGGCAGAGGAAAGGCTTTAGCTGCTCCACCTTTTACGGCCCAGCTAAGTAAAGTTCATCAACTCTCTCACTCTTCGTTAAGCTAGCAACAACCTGTTGAGTAGCATGCACAGGTGTGGTGTCATTTTCTCATCACCGTGCCTCTTAACCRCTTAAAAWTAAAAAAAGAATGACAGAGTGAAACAAGAAAATGCATGCAACAGCTCAAGCGGAAATTGTGGATAAAAGAGGATAAGTCAGATTGACAGTATTAAGCAGCCTTTTTTCACCTGGTCGCTTCTATCGTGATCCATTTTTCAGCCTTATCGCCCAGCCTTAAACTTAGCTTGGACATCCAGTAAACTTTTACTTTTAGACTGGATTTATCCCGATTTTAACCTAGACATCTTCTAAACATTTCTGTTTAAATCTTCAGTGATCTCTGAAAACTAAGATAACTTCCTCTTGAACTTGCGTACAGTTTTATTTGATGTCAACAGAAACATGATGTGGATGAAAGGTGGTTTGACATTGGCCTTTTCTTTTGAGACACCGGTGCTGTCATATCGATCCCATCGCGCTAGCATCTATACAGTCTACCACGGTTAGCATCACACACTGCTTACAAAACAGTTAGGGATACGTGGCGAAGACGACGTCCAACAATCGATGAACAGAACCTCACCAAACATCCCTGACTTTTTGTGAGTGGTTGGTTTAGATTCTCAGCCATCCAGGGCATGACAGATTTAGAAAGTTGTAGATATAACAACTGGATATCTGTTCTGTAGCTAAAGACGAGTAGAGTTTTGAGCTTTAAATAGCTTGATGTTAGTATCAGTCCATGTACTCCTTTGACAGTGACGTAAAAGTCAGATGAAATGGGACATGACGTTTCAGACAGCAGTCACTTTGAAAAACACTGAATATGTATCMTTTAGTGCCACTTTAAAACATTATTTCTTTTAGCTGAAAAACCCAAATGTTGTGAATTTAGTTATAGTTGCTGTAATGGTTGGTGCCCAGGCTTCAGGACCACAACCGCCCCACGTAATGCATTACATCACCTGCAAACAGTCCTACTTGAAACACATGTGATGACTCCATGAGCARAGATAAAGGACCATTACCAAGCTAATGTACGGTAATGCTACTTAATTCTGGCTGCAGTGTACTTGGCTTTTTCTTCAACCATCCATTACTCTGTTTTACGTGGCAGACGGTCACAGAAAGACGTGTCCTGCTGTGAGTCTGCTGAAACAATAATGTTTAAAACTGTTTTTCAGTCTTGTTTCATAACTGCATTWAAAATATGATTCCTTGTGATCTCATCTTAGGGCGATATGGGTGAGGACGGACCGAAAGGTGACATGGGGGAGAAGGTACGTAAAATTATTCGCCTTCTTTCTCTGTGTTTATGTYTTGGAACCTGCTCAGAGAAACGGTAGACGGTCAGGCCTCGGYCAAGAGACATTACCCAGTGTTAATGTTCGCCATCTGAGAGGAGGTCTGTGAAGACCACCAAAGGCAGCTGAGGTCATGTAGCATCGAGCTGAACAGCAGCAACCGTCCTGATGTTTGAGATGTCATTTTATTTTATGTGAACTTAATTTCGACGCTGATGCTAAACGAGGGGAGACCRTTTATCATCGAGACAGCTTGTCAAACCGAGACCCATTCTCAAACAAAAGGCAGAACGAAGCGTCGCTGAACAGATTTATGTTTCTGTCCAAAAACCCTTTGTTTTCAGTTAGAGCTTGTCTTGTACGAATCCTGACAAAGCATTAAGAGGCATTCTGCTTTCCGTCCACAACTCAACRTGTCGCCCTTTGCTGTTTTTATCTCATAGCAGCATTCAAGAAAACGACTGCAGCCTTATTTTCTTATTTTTACAATTTCACGACAAAACACAGACCCCTCGCTTCACTTCTAACTTGTTTCTAAAACATATCCGTGAGCRTTTATTGATTTGAACAAAACCATTACGTGAAAATGTTGATTCAGCTTCTTAACATTTCTGGGAAATGGACAAAGATTCTTCYGAGATTGCCAAAAAAGTGGTAACACGATTGCTGATCCGAGACAATCAACCCCGAAAACTTTGATGTATTGTTCTCTGGAGATGCTTTTTCTTCCTCTCTCTCTCTCTTTCTCTCTCTGAATCCTGTCAAATTTGAAAACAAAATGTAACTCAAAGAGCAGCAGCTGAAAGTGGAAGCAGTGTACTCAAAGTGTCAATGCCAATTTATTGCTGTTCAACGGAGAACAACTTTGATAACCTCTCACTTTTTGGACTCTGTGGGGTTTTTTTTGAAAAACTGCTGAAGTCGGCAGCCAAGAAGGACACAAGTCTGAGGGAACCAGATGAGAGATATCATCTATGGAAAACGAATGGAAAACAAAAGGGAAAGGTGGGCGTACGACGMTAAAACTTTGCAGCTTAAGCAATGCTTTGATCGACTGTAGCTCGGTGACGTAAAAAGGAGGGAAAAAATGATGGATTTTCTGCTACAGGAGTGAAAAAGACAAAGTGGAAATAAATACCTTGTCTTTAGGCACTCAGCTGCTTCCATGTTTTACAATAAAAACAGAAACAAAGTTAAGTGTAAAAGACTTGCTGACTCAGCATTCACACTGTTCCTCTTTGCTCTCCATCTTTTTGTCTGTACATGTTGGACATGTTACTGTGACTTGTAATGTTTGTAACTTCTATATTTCTCAAAATATTTAATTTAATTTTCCTCAAAGATTTTCCCCATGAAAACATTAGGTTTTCTTAATTGCTTCAAAAACACTATTTTCAACATTTTGCTTCTTTTTATAATAAGCTAGCTTCTTTTGCTGTTAGCAACTGTTTCTTGCTTCCAACTAGTGTAGGTACTCGTAACTAGCATTTTTTATAACTATCTTGCTTCTTCTAGCGTTTTTCCACTTCCTACTTTAAGATAAGGTTTTTTCTTTTTTTTTTTTTTAAATTTAGATAGTGTTTATTAAAATTTAGCTAGCGTTTTGCTATGCTTAGCTAGCATTTATCTCTTTCCTGCTTGACACCAATTTTGCTCTTTTCAGCTTTTGGACTTCTACTTTTAGCAAGCATTTAGCTGTTTATCTTTTAGCTTAAACTCTCTTCAGCATTTAGCTAGCTTTTTTCCCTTTTATTCATTCATTTATTTATTTATTTAGAAATTTAGAAATTTATTCATTTCATTTGTAGCAATTATATACACAACAAAGAACAAAAAAAACGTGCAATCAAAATAAAATCAAATAAAATGAAAGGCAGCAGAAGAAGAATAAATCTTATATCTGCCTCTTTTTTATCCCCAGAATATGTTCAAAGTGAAAGTAAATTACAACAAAAATCAAAACAACTGAAAAAACAAATACAAAACAAATCTAAACCTAAAACACCAACTCAAACAACAATTTGCATGGATTCACTTATACTTCCCTATATTTCATCAGAATATTAGATTTTATCATTCTCTTCAATAGATACAAATATCTGGTATTTTTAACTTCATCATCCATGCTCTTCCATAATCTTATTCCCTGGATTAAAGTGGATCGCTCCTTCAGGCTCGTACGAAACCAAGGTTTCACAAACACTTCGATTCCCTTAAGATAATAACAGCTCTCTCTTTTAACAAAATTTACTTGAATGTTGGAAGGTAACACAACTTTATGAGCTCTGTACATTAATAGTAAAATATTATAATCGACCAAATCATAGAATTTCAATATTTTCAATTCATAAAACAAAATATTCGATGGATGGCTGTAATTTTTTCTAGTTATAATTCTTATAGTTCTTTTTCTGTAAAATAAAAATAGGATTTCTGAAAGTTTTGCAAGCTTTACCCCAGACTTCAATACAGTAAATTAAATGTGGAACATTTATAGCGTTATACAACAATTTTTAGCTTTTAGCTAGTGTTCTGCTCCTGTTAGCTTCAACAACTAAGGCTTTGTTTCAAGTTTGGGGTTGCAGCCAACGAAGGGTGCATTTGTTGACCAACAAAACCCCTAAAACGTAGGCTGCATCTGGGTATCCTACGCAGCCGACGATATCCCAGGATTCATTGTGCCGTCAGTACACTAAAAAAAAAAAAAAAACAAAGACTGCGGAAATGTTTTTTTTCTACAATGGAGTTTGGAAATTTATCATGGACCGAATAATTCATTTTTAAGTGTAAGTTTAGCAACTTAGCTGATGAAATCGATTATTAATATTTTTATTTTTAAGTTACGTGTTACATTGTTTTAATAATACTTAATTTTGTGAAGTTACACCATGAAAAGAATACGTCTCATTTCACAGCCATTTATGCACTGGCAACCTATGGCCTATGTGTGTGTCCAAATTTTCAGCTTCTTCAGCAAATTTCTCCTGTCATTTGGCACTCACACTGCATTTTTTACCAACAAATGCCATTTGTCTAGTTAAAAAACAAATTTAAGAAGGATGAGATTACCTCATCTCAAACCGTCAATGTTAGGTAAGACACAGTGCACAACATATGGAATGAATAATTCCAATCAAGATACGTTCAGATGGCTTTAGCATATGTCGGATTGATATTTGGTGCCAGAGAAGTAAATGTATGCTCAAGCAGAGCCCCTGTCAGCACAGCTGTGGTGTCTGATCAATGGCTCCTTCATGATGTTATTGTTGTTTCAACTGGCGGTGGAAGAAACCAGAGAACAGAGAGACACCAGAGGGGAGAGGAGGGCATCTTTAGTCCTCCAGACTGAGGATGCCAAAGTTAACAATATGCAGCACGCTCTGCAGGAAAAATGTGGAAACACTGAGCGAGAGGTGAGACAGTCTAAGCTCCATTATGTTGAGCAGAGAGACCTCAGGGAGGGAAATGAGAGCTTGGTTTTATAAGGACGGGGGGAGGAGGGGGGGTCTGTGGTTTGTGAAAGACAGATAAATGACAGAACATGGTCACTTAGACTTAAACTGACTCTTAAAGATGAGATTAAATAACAATCTGCTGAAAGTTGTTTGCTTAAAAAAAGACAAAGATTCCACATTTATTCCTGCTTATTTGCTCTTATTTATGTCAAATATGGCAGCTCTTGAATTGTTCCACTGCAAAATATGATTTCCCTTTAAGAAACCATTCATTGTCAGTAATTACTTTTATGTAAACAGTCGTAGTGTTAGCCTAAAGCTAGTTAGCACCCAAAAGACTTCTGCACACACCGTTTATTTCTATGCTTTTTTTAAAGATCGCTTAAATCTTTTGGAGGTAATGAGCAATTAATATCTTACCTGTGCTAGATAGCTCTTGGAAAGACCTCACTCAGGAGAAACGAGTTTAACATGGACCAGACTGACAAGCTAGCAGTTAGCCTGACAGAAACAGATTGATGTGTTCTTAATATAAGTCCAAAGTGTTACATTGACAAAAGTGTATTTTTCCCTTTTTTTAAAGTATAAAATTAAAATAGAATAGCCACCTGTTTTGGAAATTTCTGATGAGATTTCTTTTCAACTTTCATCATCTGCAATACAAATGTTTTCCTCTTATTTGACTGATAGGTGTCAGGT